AGGGGCATTTAAGCGGCTATTAGATAGGCATATGGATGATAGTATAAGGTAGGGGTGGAGGTTAGATAGACCTTAGGATTAGGGTAAAAGTTCGGCACAACATCGTGGGCCGAAGGGCCCATACTGTGCTGTACTGTTCTATGTTCTATGTTCAAACCATCTTTGAGAAGGAACAAAAACAAAGTTGCTGGAAACGCTCAGCAGGTCTGGCAGCATCTCTGAAGGAGAAAACAGAGTTAACGTTTCGGGTCCGGTGACCCTTCCTCAGAGCTTTGAGAAGGCTGCAGTACTGTAGTGGTTACAGTCTCAGATTGGTAAACCCCAGAGTGCAAATTCAAATTCCGTCATGGTCATTTGAAAATTTGAATTCAGCTTTCAAAAAAACATGTAACTAACATTCATGCCACACAAGTACTGACAATAAGTATTTCCCAGAGAAAGTATAACTACATCTCCTTGGCATTAGCATCATTGACTTGTGGGAAAGAGAGAGAATTGAAGTTTAACATCCATCAAATTATTGTTATCCCTGAGACTGTTCAGGGACTGAATTGTCTCTTAAAATGCAAGAAACATGGACCTGAAATGGTTGTGGTGATCACCTGACCACAGGTTGAGACTAACTTCGGGAGACCCATCTGCACTGAAGTCATCATTTTTCTCTAAAGCCATCACAACCAGGTGGCTGAGTCAGTGTCAAGTCATTTACACCTGCTGTTTAATTCACACGTGTCTGATCATTTCACACGGTGTGAGCTGAAAGGCTCACTTGCCAGTTTGGAAAGACAATGGGGTTAGATTGTGGAATGCACACTGGATTACATTTGAACAGCAATGTTCGAGCAGCAGGACACAGAAGGGAAAATGAAGCTGTGACAACAAACTCTCCTCCTGCCTGTTTTTCTCATCACCTCAGATAACTATACCCAGAGTCAACACCAATTCGGCAAACAACCATTCACTGAGAACTCAATGACCTAGAGATGCCACTGCTGCTGACACTAACAATCTAACATCTCAAGGACTCTAAAAAACTTTTTAACTGTGTAACCATTAATCTCCAATTCTGTATCAGACTTTAAACTTATCTTCGATGTTTGTGTGCATAGTTGCTGTCACACTTTCATGATTTTTCTCAGGGCTAGTAAGCAATAAAATAGCTCATCCCTTCATTCAAGAAAACCTTGGTCATTGGTTCCTTAATTTTCTAATGAGCTATTTTTTAATAGACTTGTGATAGCTGTATACTGAAATGTTTGTTGCGACTGACTAGGAGAGGGTTTTAAAGGAGGGAGTCAATATTCCCTCTCACCTGATAGTAACAATCAGCAGCCATGATCTTGTTGAATGCTGATGAGGGTTGATGGGTTGTACAGGCTAGCCATAGAGTCATTGAATCATACAGCACGGAAACAGACCCTTCAGTCCATCCAGTCCATGCTGAACATAATCCCAAACCAAACTAGTCCCAACAGCCTGCTCCTGGCCCATATCCCTCCAAACATTTCTTAATCATTTACTTATGTAAATGTCTCTACTTCTCCTTCTCCTATTTCATCTGATCTCAAGATTATAAATTTACAATATTCATGGAGCAGAGAGATGCCAGTGGGGCAAGTCATCACTACTCAAAAGTTCAGCTAGATGAGCATGGCAACTTGAGCAGGTTAATTATTCGACTCAATATAATGCTCCTCCTTTGATAATTCAAAGGATGTCATGGTAACCCCATTTAGACCATAAAAAGTCACCATCTCCCTCAACTGGAATACATTGGTCCACCATTACTCTGTGGTAAGACATTGAATTGTCCAGCACGCTGTCCTGGTGCACTGCTGGATACATTGTGCAATTACCTCCTCAAACAAGATGGAGGGATTTACAGTTGAAGCTTGCATTCATGGGGGATGTGCTTTCTACAGAACATAGTAGATTAAGCTGCAAAGCACTTCACGTCATCCTTAAGTCATTCTCAAGTTATGAAAGGTGCTTTACAAATACAATTCTTTCAGGTCCTTCTTTTTATCTCTAGCCTGCAGTGGAACACCCTTGTGTTCCTTCCATCTTCTCAGATTCGATCATTACCAATTTTTGTGTTCCAGCTCAAAGTCCATTCCAAAACTTTGCTTTTCTATCTCACCTCCAACCTGGGGAGAAAAATGGAAATTCAAATGCTAGCCACATAAGGCTGGAGAGGTCTTGTGGTACAGTAGACAGTGTCCTGCCTCTGAGCCAGAAGTTCTGGGTTCAAGTTCCACGCTGAGATCTGATGTCAATGAAAGGTCTGCTACTGAAACAGCCAAACAGCTCGATTATCAATCCATGCAGCCTTCCAAAGTATGTATGAATTGAATCGAATGATTTATTGTCACTTGTATTTCAGGGAAAATACAGTGAAAAGCTTCAACTACCACCAAGCTCCAGTGCCATTTTGAATAACTTAAAAAGAAAGATATAACTGAAAGAGATTCCATCTTTGTTCTTTATCCACTCATCCACTTCAAAGCTTCACCCCTCTGCCACTACCATGAGTCCCCACAACAACACTTGTGCCCCCAACCCTGTCACAGATGCCACAAGTGCTGAACCCACGAACATAAGAGTTGCCACTCTTCAGGCACCATCTCTCACCGCTGGGCCCACCTCGCCAACTTCACCAATGCCCCTCCGTCAACAGGTAGGACCGAGAGAAATTCCTGGTCAGCCTTGTCTCATTCAAAGTAGTGCCCCTCAATTCACAGCCTCAGAGTGGCAGAGTTGTGACCTCTTCCAGAAAATGCTAGTTCAGAGAACGGACATAAACGCACGCTTTGTCTGCCTCAAGCACATCAGAAGCCTTTAAGTCTAAATCTAGTGAAGGTTCAGTGAGATATTCTTTCCTCTGACTGTTGTGGATTCATGCACAGAAGTTTGGTAAACATTCCACTTCAATAGCGAGGGAGCATTGCACAGTTTAGGGTGCTGCCTTTTGGATATGAGCTCAAGTGGAGTTTATATATAGTTTATATATGTCTCGGCAGATATAGACAATCCTGTGGTGCTACTTGGGAACAGCAGAGATGTCATCCCTGGTGTTCTGGCCAATATTTCTACTTCGATCTGTTTTAGTGATGTTAGCTACCTGCTTGTGACCACACTGCTGTATGTTGGCCCATGTAGTATGGAAATTAGCTGCCTCATTTCTTACATTACAACAATGACTACATTTCAAAAGTATTTCAATGTCTGGAAAATACATGGGGTATCCAGAAGTCGTAAATACAAGTTAGTTATTGTCCTCCACATCCCCTTCCCTAATCTGATCCACTCACTTTTCACTGGATTGCCATCTCTGACCTTTGCACTTTGCTTTGTCCCCATCTCAAAATATACTTTCATTTACAAACTGATAAAAGTGAGGCAGTTTTTTCCTGCCCCAAAGGCATTCCATATTTTGACTGCTGTCAACACTTCAATCCAGTTGTCACCTTACTGATCAGCCAAGGAGAATAAAAATAAAAATGCTGGAGAAACTCTGCAGGTCTGGCAGCATCTGTAGAGAGAGAAACAGAGCTGGTGTTTCCAATTTGATATGACTCTTCATATGTGTTTCAAAGCTCCTGGAGTCCAACAACAAGCTAAATTCAAAAATACTGAACAAAAACCCAAAGAACTGTGGATGCTGTAAATTGGAAAAAAAAACAGAAATTGCTAGAAAAACTCAGCAGGTCTAGCAGCATCTGTGGAGAGAAATCAGAGTTAACGTGTTAGGTCCAGTGACCCTTCCTCAAAGCTGATTCCTTAAAAATGCTAATTCTCTTAGTGATGTTTAAACTGCCCAATTTCTACATTGTGATACAATCATTTCATCTTCCTCACTTCCTGCCTGGTCTAGGAATTAAAATTATTTACTGTCAATCAGGTTTTCAAAATCCTGCTATTATTATTCAGGCCTCCTGTAGATTTGCAGTCCCATTACCACGATCTATTTATTGCAGCCCTCCAGTCCCTTGCCTGTAGCCAGTACCTTCAATCTCATACTTCGCCATCGTTTTTCAAGAGACAATGGGAGTCAGCATGCTGCTGATGAAAAAAATCTTTCAGAAACAAAGCAGAAGGAGCATGCTCACAGAAAAACTGACAGGCGCTGGCTCCCGCTGCTAGTGGCTGAGTGTGGGGTCTGGACTGTGCACGTAGCACCGCACACTGAACACGTGCAGACACTGAGGATACTCACACAGCCGGAAGTGGCTCTGGAGAGTCTCCCCTGAGAAACACTGGACATAGTACATCTCTGGAAGCTTATGCACAGGACACAGGGCTACAGGGCAGATTCCAGGAAAATCCAGGATGGCTAGTCACCCAGCTGTAAGTTCCTTCCATGTGGCACACAAGACAGCGTCCTCTCACTGATACACAGCAGTCAGTCCCTCATTCTCTCTACAGTATTGCCCCTCATTCATAAGCATTTATTGATCAGCCTCACTTAAACTGTGTTTTTGTCCAATACCTTTCTCCTTTTATTGGGTGCCCCTCTCAGGTCATCCATTTCAAAGTTCTACAAATTCTTATAGATCATCTACCATTTGACAAGCAGTTCAGTTTGGCAACAATAAAAACTTGCATTTATATTGCATCTCTAACAAAAGTAGAAGTAGTAAAGTGTTTACTGCTTATTTACTGCATCCTCAGCTTTAATCGTCACCCTTTATAGGTTGTTTAAAGACATGCACCTACAATTTACATTGCACACAACACTATACTCTCAAACTCAATCAATGCCAGAGGAGGTACAAAATGTGTTACCCCCATTATTTACAGTGTGCTCAGTGTCTCTGTGGCATATCAACGACATAAATAGGCCCGTAGATGTTTCTAATCAGCACCGAGAAGGCACATGAGCAATTATCTGAAATCAGGTATATGATGAGTATGTATTTTGTTTAAATTTCACTGCCAGCATTTGAAAACATCAGCAAAAATAACGTTATGATCTATTGTTATCCACTTCTCCCCCTCACCTGTGGTGGACCATTTAGCAGAAGTCTGCGTGGATGAAATACCTCAGTTCTATTCTGTGCTTTGTTGAAATCCATATGGTTTTGTTTAGCCACTGTCCACTGGCGATAGTATAGGGATTGCTCTGTGGAAGTCATCATTTTGGCCAATGAAGGATGAAAGGAGGTTATCCAATGAACTGAATGGTGTGGAAGAAAGGATGATAATTTAGCCACTCCAGAACTGTCCACTTTAGTAATAATCTCATAGATCAGTTTTGGGAGGAACACAGTCGGTGGTTGACTTGCTGCCTTCGTCCTTGGGCACTGGGATGACATTTGTCCCAGAATTGGAGTCTGAGTAGACGAAGAGCCTGAAGAAAAGGTTTTTGAGCTTCTTTGTGAGGTTTTGTTGTTGTCGATTTGATCTAAGTTTATTCTATGTTTTTCTGGATACTGAGTCTCATGGTTAGGCTTTTGTTGCACGCTGTCTGCTCTCAGCTTGGATTTCTCTCTGGTCACACTGCTGTCCTCAATATTAACAGGTTCAACATGCAGTGGATGTCTTGCAGTATCCTCTGCTCCAGAAGGCAAGAAAGGATCACCGTCGCAAAGTAAGCCTAATTTTGCCACAGAAAAATAAAGATATTAATTTGAGTCAAATGAAAAATCACAGCAAATTTCAGTAATCTAAGAAATAATAAATTAAAAGCTGAAAATGCTAGAAATATTCACCAGTCAGGCAGAATCTGTGGAGAGAGAAACAAAATTAATAATTTAGGTTTACTTCTTTAAGAGTCAGATGAAGCAAAGGATGAAATAGAACTGCAGACTAAGGCAGCTTTGAGAGAGAGACAGAGTCTTGGAAAAGGCAGAAAGAAGCATATGGTATACATTGCTTTGTGCCTGTAGATCTTAGGATGCAACAAGAGGAGTGAATCAGAGAATGTCAAATATTTTGGTAGTATCCGTAATCATAGATGGATCTGAAACAGATGGAATTTGGTTTGATGTTCACTTGGAATAAGTCGGAGTGAGAGACAGCAGCTAAGGAAAGTGTAGTGGCTGGGAAAATAAGCTTTACAAGATAGCTCACCAAACATGAGAAGGTGAGCTGACATTTGCAATGAGAGTAAACAAGGTAAACATGCCAGGTAGAAATTCAGTCAGTGAAATGGACAAAACTTCAGGGTGGGTCTTCCTGGAAGGTGTAGCAGTGTATTAAAGACTAATACAAACATAAAATACTGCAAATGCTGGAAATCTGAAACATAGACAGCAAGGTCTGGAAATATTTTGCATTCTCTGTTGTTCTTTTCCTGAATCTAAACTTGTTTAAAACCTGTCACAGTGTTACCTTATCTTTAATTCTGATTAAAGGTCATGGATTTGAAAAGTTGCCTTTGGTTTTCTCTCTCTCCATAGATGCTGCCAGACCATATTTCCAGTATGATCCGTTTTTAATACAGATTTCCAAATCTGCAGAATTGTGCTTTTCTGGATTTGATATTCTGGGTCTTCAAACCTCAAAAGCATTTTACTTACTTGATGTTTTTGATGATCTAGATGAAGCTGACTGATTAGAATAGGAACGTTGTCTCTTAGTATTACTGTTCTTTCCTGAGTCTGCAACTGTTGTCACTAAAACAAGAGCAACAAATAAGATATCACAGCATGACACAAGTCATTGGAGCACATCTCTAATGTATTTCACACAGATTGGTGATCATTAGATTCGCCTGCAACTAAAAGCAATATTTTTGATTCCCTACCTCTGATCCTTACAGCAATGTCTAGTGAAGAAGATGAGCTAGTGACATGCTCCTGAGCATCTTCCAAAGTTTTGCAAATTGTAGAGGCGGTGAAAAAATCCCTCTCTTGTCCCTGACATTATGGTGAAGCAGCTAATATTCCACTGAACTAATTTTATATGTGGATATAAGTGGCTAGGCTACAATGACTGGATTATATCCAGTTCAGGGCACCTTACTTTAGGAAGCATTTCAGGCCCAAGAACAGGATGCAGAAAAAGATCACTATGATTGATGTCAGGGATGAAAACAATTAGTTAGAAGAAAATATTAAAGAAAACAAAGCCTTTTAATTGGAGTGCAGCAAATTTAATAATTCTAAAAGGAATATGCAGAATTAAGAGGGGTAACTAAGTAAACAATTACTTCCATTGATCACCTGGTAGATATAAATTGTCGATCAAAAGAACACGGGAAGATAGTTTTTCATTTAAAAAAACGCTATTAGATAGCAGCTAGGACATGGAATGCACCTTCAGAAACATAAATGGAAACCTAATCCATAATGATTTTGAAAAATCATGTGGATAAATATCTGGGGAGAAAAGGTAAAAATATGGGGAAAGGACAGGTGGACCCTCTTGCATGTTTTTTCAAGAACATGTTCTTTCATGCTCTGAGGAAGGGTCACTCAACCTGAAACATTAACTCCGATTTCTCTCCACAGATGTTGCCAGACCTGCTGAGTTTTTCCAGCAATTTCTGTTTTGGTTCTTTCAAAGAGCTAGCAGAGATACAACAAGCTGAATGGTCTCCCTCTGTAATGTTATGGAGTACCAATATTCATGTAGTATCAATATTCCATGGCTTGTCCCTTGAGTTCAGGCTTCGAATTGTACTCCATGCATACTGAGCCATGCAGACCATAGTATTTCTATACCCTGTGATTCATATCTTTAGAAAGTAGATGGGAGCATGATCAATTTCCACACATAACAGGGAGTAGGAATTTCATAAAATTGAATTTGCTGATTTTGATTCAGAACGTAAAAGGCAGGTAAAGTCCCACCTCTACTTTTTTCCTCATACTTCTCAAAAGCAGCAGCACATCCAACAATACATTGCTACAGGGGTTCCCTGCTCCCGCTGCTCACTCAAAGTCCTCATTTTGGGTGAGTATAGTAAGTGGAGACAGGCTTTTAAATGACAGTGCATCAAAGCCAAGCCTACACATTGAATACCCAAGATGAGGAGGTGCTGGTGTTGGACTGAGATGGATAAAGTCAGAAGTCACATGACACCAGGTTGCAGTCCAACAGGTTTATTTGAAATCACAAGCTT